ATGTCTCAGAAATCAAAGAGTTACTCCAGGTGGGTACAGCAAATTTTAAACAGATGATAGTTTACTGATATCTTGAGTACAGAGATGTCTTGGGTATTTTTTTGGAGTTAGAATATTTACAAATTTAACAAATATTCCTTAGTCTCTCGAACTGATAACACTTCCTTTAATGTCAGGGTAGAGTCAAAGACAACTGCAGTAAGCATTCCAAGGATGATGATGGTTATGTTTTCTATGTCAGCAGAGATTGTATGCCATTGGAGGAGGATGACTTTAGCCAAGACAATACAAATAACCATGTCCTCTATCTAGAACTTGTTGCTCCTCAAGACACTGTCTATTTTGGGAACTGGAAAACCAAAGTCAAGTTTAGAATTTGGGTAATCAGTCCCACAGAAGCAAACCTGAAACCACAAAATAACCCATATAAATCTAGTGTTATTCCTACATACTTGATTCTGACTGCAGAATGGAATTGGTGGCAACAGATTTAAGATGCCTACCCAGACTTGGAAATGCAATGCCACCATGGGGCCCATTAAATAGTGCACTTCCAGGAGTTCAAGGCATAGCAGTGAACTATGATCATACCAGTCTTGGCAACAGAGCAAGACCCTGTCTCTGAAAGAATAAATAAAATAAAATAAATGATAATAATAACTTTAAAAACCACTGTTCTTGCACTTTCCCAGCCAGCTTGCAGTTGGAAAGCTAGGCACATTGTTAGTCTAGTCATACCTACCATATTTAACCTGCGCAGGCTAAGCTACATTCAAGGTCTAGTTCGAGGCCAAACTGCCACGTTCAGTATCCAACAGCTCAGCTTAATGGCCTCCTTGGCATGCCCTTGTCTTTCTTCAAGTCTCACATGTGGCCCTGCCCATCCACAGCCACTGACCTCCATGAAGTTGACTCCTTGATCCCAGGCATCAAGCTTCAGAATTCTTAACAGTAGCTCAGGTCAGAAATGTGTTGAGAGAGATTCCCAAAGCAGAAATAAATCTAGGGATGAAGGGGGAAACATCTCCCCTGTGGAACAGGTTTCCTAGGCCTAACCAAAAATCAAGGGCAGCACAGGAGCCTGAAGAATTTGTTGACAAGAGCGTGAAAGCATTTTCACAGCCCAGAGCCCACACTCAATGGGGGTCTGGGTGCTAAGACACCCAGGGCCCAAAGGACAAAAAGGAAATGGAAAGGATTTGAAATATATTAGACAGGAAATCAAGGTTTCTTACATAAAGTGGTGACTGGAGCTCCAGTCGAAGTTCAGATATGAGGAGCTCACCACTGCAGAGAGAGGAGACAACACACGTGGAGGAGCGCTTTTTGCACCAGGTATAATAAGTAGATGATATGGGTAGTAACTTCGTGTTTGGTTTTTTTTAGACAGAGTCTTGCTCTGTTGCCTGGGCTAGAGTGCCATGGCATCAGTATAGCTCACAGCAACCTCAAATTCCTGGGCTCAAGCGATCCTTCTGCCTCAGCCTCCCGAGTAGCTGGGACCACAGGCATGCGCCACCATGCCCGGCTAATTTTTTCTCTCTCTATATATATTAGTTGGCCAATTAATTTCTTTATATTTATAGTAGATATGGGGTATTGCTCTTGCTCAGGCTGGTTTCTAACTCCTGACCTCGAGCAATCCTCCTGCCTCGGCCTCCCAGAGTGCTAGGATTACAGGAGTGAGCCACCATGCCCTGCCAGTAGTAACTTTTTATCAGAGGATTTTTCTCTCATTGAGTTTAAGTTCACAGTATGTG